TTTTCTTTATCTTCTCCACCTTCTTACTCTCCTGTTTTCTCTTTTTCTTTACTTTTCCTCCACCTTACTTTTTCCTCCTTTCTTTATCTTACTCCTCCACCTTCTACTTTTTCCCTCTTCTGTTACTCTCCTGTCTCTTTCTTTATCTTACTTCCACCTTCTCTTTTTCCTCTTCTGTTACTCTGTTCCACCTTCTACTTTTCCTCTTCTGTTCTCCTGTCTTACTCCTCCACCTTCTTTTTTTCTCTTCTGTTTCTTTATCTTACTCCTCCACTTTCTACTTCTGTTACTCTCCTGTCTCTTTCTTTACTCCTCCATCTTCTACTTTTTCTTCTGTTACTCTCCTGTCTCTTTCTTTATCTTACTCCTCCACCTTTTTCTCTGTTTCTCCTGTCTCTTTCTTTATCTTACTCCTCCACCTTCTACTTTTTCCTCTTCTGTTACTCTCCTGTCTCTTTCTTTATCTTACTCCTCCACCTTCTACTTTTTCCTCTTCTGTTACTCTCCTGTCTCTTTCTTTATCTTACTCCTCCACCTTTTTTCTTTTTTACTCCTCCTGTTACTCTCCTGTCTTCTTTTTATCTTACTCCTCCCACCTTCTACTTTTTCCTCTTCTGTTACTCTCCTGTCTTTTTTTTATCTACTCCTCCACCTTCTCATTTTTTTCCTCTTCTGTTACTCTCCTGTCTCTTTCTTTATCTCCTCCACCTTCTACTTTTTCCTCTGTTCTCCTGTTCTTTTTTTTTACTCCTCCATTTCTAATCTTTTTTCCTCTTCTGTTACTCTCCTGTCTCTTTCTTTATCCTCCTCCACCTTCTACTTTTCATCTTCTGTTACTCTCCTGTCTCTTTCTTTTATCTTACTCCTCCACCTTCTACTTTTTTTTCTTCTGTTCTCTCTGTCTCTTTCTTTTATCTTACTCCTCCACCTTCTACTTTTCCCTCTTCTGTTATTCTCCTGTCTCTTTTCTTTTCTTCTACTTTTTCTTCTGTTACTCTCCTGTCTCCTCCTTTTTCCTCTTCTTCTCTCTTTCTTTTTTTTTACTCCTCTTTTTTTCCTCTCTCCTGTCTGTCTCTTTTTTTTATCTTATCTTACTTTTTTCCTCTTCACCTTTATCTTACTTTTTTCCTCTTTTCCTCCTGTCTCTTTCTTCTCCACCTTTACTTTTTCTCTTCTGTTACTCTCCTGTCTCTTTCTTTATCTTACTCCTCCACCTTCTACTTTTTCCTCTTCTGTTACTCTCCTGTCTCTTTTCTTTTTATCTTTCCACCTTCTACTTTTTCCTCTTCTGTTACTCTCCTGTCTCTTTCTTTATCTTACTCCTCCACCTTCTACTTTTTCCTCTTCTGTTACTCTCCTGTCTCTTTCTTTATCTTACTCCTCCACCTTCTACTTTTTCCTCTTCTTCTCCTCCACCTTCTACTTTTTTCCTCTTCTCTGTCTCTTTCTTTATCTTACCTATCCACCTTCTTCACTTTTTTCTCTCTTCTGTTACTCTCCTGTCTCTTTCTTTATCTTATCTTTACTTTTTCCTCTTCTGTTATTTCTCCTGTCTCTTTTTTTATCTTACTCCTCCACCTTCTACTTTTTCTTCTGTTCTCTCCTGTTCCACTCTCCTGTCTCTTTCTTTATCTTACTCCTCCACCTTCTACTTTTTTCCTCTTCTGTCTCTTTTCTTTATCTTACTCCTCCACCTTCTACTTTTTCCTCTTCTGTTACTCTCCTGTCTCTTTCTTTATCTTACTCCTCCACCTTCTACTTTTTCCTCTTCTGTTACTCTCCTGTCTCTTTCTTTATCTTACTCCTCCACCTTCTACTCTTCTGTTACTCTCCTGTCTCTTTCTTTATCTTACTCCTCCACCTTCTACTTTTTTCCTCTTCTGTTACTCTCCTGTCTCTTTCTTTATCTTTCCTCCACCTTCTACTTTTTCCTCCCTTCTTCTGTTACTCTCCTGTCTCTTTCTTTTTATCTTACTCCTCCACCTTCTTTTTCTGTTACTCTTGTCTCTTTCTTTTTATCTTACCTCCACCTTCTACTTTTTTTCCTCTTCTGTTACTCTCCTGTCTCTTTCTTTATCTTACTCCTCCACCTTCTACTTTTTCCTCTTCTGTTACTCTCCTGTTCTTTCTTTTATCTTACTCCTCCACCTTTTTTGTTACTCTCCTGTCTCTTTTCTTTATCTTATTCCTCCACCTTCTACTTTTTTCTTCTCTTCTCTTTCTTTATCTTACCTCCTTTCTTTTTCCTCTTCTGTTACTCTCCTGTCTCTTTCTTTATCTTACTCCTCCACCTTCTACTTTTTCCTCTTCTGTTACTCTCCTGTCTCTTTCTTTATCTTACTCCTCCACCTTCTACTTTTTCCTCTTCTGTTACTCTCCTGTCTCTTTCTTTATCTTACTCCTCCACCTTCTACTTTTTCCTCTTCTGTTACTCTCCTGTCTCTTTTTTTATCTTTACCTCCTCCACCTTCTACTTTTTCCTCTTCTGTCTCTTTCTTTTTCTTTTTATCTTCCTCCACCTTCTACTTTTTCCTCTTCTGTTACTCTCCTGTCTCTTTCTTTATCTTACTCCTCCACCTCTACTTTTTTCCTCTTCTTTACTCTCCTGTCTCTTTCTTTTATCTTACTCCTCCACCTTCTTTTTTCATCTTCTGTTACTCTCCTGTCTCTTTTTTATCCTCCTTCTTTTTTCCTCTTCTGTTATTCTCCTGTCTCTTTCTTTTTATCTTACTCCTCCACCTTCTACTTTTTCCTCTTCTGTTACTCTCCTGTCTCTTTTTTTTTATCTTACTCATCCACCTTTCTACTTTTTCCTCTTCTGTCACTCTCCTGTCTCTTTCTTTATCTTTTCCTCCACCTTCTACTTTTTTTCCTCTTCTGTTACTCTCCTGTCTCTTTCTTTTATCCTTTTTCCTCTTCTGTTACTCTCTGTTCTTTTCTTTTTTCTCCTTTCTACTTTTTTTCCTCTTCTGTTACTCTCCTGTCTCTTTCTTTTATCTTACTCCTCCACCTTCTACTTTTTTCCTCTTCTGTTACTCTCCTGTCTCTTTCTTTATCTTTCATCCACCTTTACTTTTCCTCTTCTGTTACTCTCTGTCTCTTTCTTTTCTTCCCCCTTCTACTTTTTTCCTCTTCCTTTCCTGTCATTTTCTTTATCTTACTCCTCCACCTTTCTACTTTTTTCTTCTTCTTTACTCTCCTGTCTCTTTCTTTATCTTACTCCTTCTACTTTTTCCTCTTCTGTTACTCTCCTGTCTCTTTCTTTTTCTCCTTCCACCTTCTCTTTCCTCTTCTCTGTTACTCTCCTGTCTCTTTCTTTATCTTACTCCTCCACCTTCTACTTTTCCTCTTCTACTTTTTTCCTCCTGTTTCCTTTTTTTTTATCTTCCTCCTTTCTTTTTCCTCTTCTGTTTTGCCATTTTCTTTATCTTACTCCTCCACCTTCTATTTTTCCTCTCTTTCTTCATCTTTTACTCTTTTCTCTTCTTTTTTTACTCCCTTCCTCCTCCTGCATTTTACCTATTTTACTCGCGCCATCTTCCTCTTTCCCTGCCTTTCTACTCTTTCTTCCTCATTTACCGTCTTTTTTTCCGCCTTTTTTTTTACTTCAATCTATCTACTCTCTTCTTTCGCTTTTGCTTTCTTCATCCTTTTCCTCTTCTCTTCTACTTTCTTTGTCTTTATTTTCATCTTCTTTTACTCTCCTCCTACTTTTTTCTTTTACTCACCTCCTCCTTTTCTTTTTTTTTCCTCTTTTCATGTCCTTCACTTTTGCTCACTGTTGCAACATCAGTGGTCTGAAATTACATTCTTCAAAGAAATCAATAAATTGAATCTGTAACAACAACAACAACAACAGCAGCAGCAACAGCCTCGATGTGACTTCACAAGCCTCGATGTGACTTCCATCAACCTCGCTCTACTTTCTAACTCACCCCATCACCAATGTCTCAAGCCCCCCCCAAAAAAAAACGGTCACGAGTCGTGTACGTGTGTCCGTGTCTACGCTTGAGCGCATGCGTATTTCTCAGATGCAAATAATTTCTGACCGTCTTTCTATAACACCGAACGCCAAGAAAGTAAACCGATCTCAGTGTCGCTATATTATTAAAAGTAAAAAAAATAATACATAAGAAATGATTCAAATAATAATTAATTCATACGGAATATTCTTAAAATAAAAGTAAATAGGTGATTTTTTTTTTCAAAGCAATATCAAAATAAATATAAAAGTGCTTACAATGCACAATTCATTGCTACACTCAGACATCTTTAACCCGCAGCTTTTTGGATCAGACTATTGCCGGATTACAAAAATGCCGGATGACAGAGGTTACCCCTGATGAAACCCTATGTAGATATACAATTGCCAGCTCATTGCACATATATATTGCTGTGTTATCAAAGGTAGAATAGAACTTAAAAGAAGAAAATAATTATCAATGCATCCAAAAAAGCTTTTTACTATTCATACAAAGGTTTAAAAAAAAGAAGCCTAAAACTAAAAAAATAAGGACATCCGTACTCATGTTACAAATGCGGCGCATCTGTCCTCATGTTACAAATACACTGCATGCGTCCCCATGAGACAAATGCATCATATCTATCTTCATCATGAAAGCACATCGCAGTAAATGATGATAGGTCTGTTTCTGTTTCATAATTAAATTCGATTTCTTTTTTCATAGTTAAGTTCGATGCTGTTTAGTTTATTTACAAGGTCATGTAATATTGTTTTGAGGTGTCTTATTAATAAGGTATAATTCATATTTCGGAAATATGCTGATTGTTTAAGTAAATTGTTTTAGAAGGAACCAGTCTCTAGAAATTGTAAGAAAAGACAAACTTAAACACCGCTAGAAGGCGCTCTCATCGGTAATCTGAATTTTTGACTATAAAAATCCTTGACGAAAGGCAAAAACCATTAGATTGTGATGAGTTTGCAAAGCTTCATAATTTTTCTTCTATTACTAAATCAGAGGTCTCATTGCTACATCATGTTGAAACACCGGTTTCCGTACGATGACCGAAGTTAAGCAACGTCGAGCCTGGTCAGTACTTACATGGGTGATCCTTGAGAATACTTCTATGTGGGGGTGGTTTAATGGATAATGGCAAGGAATTGTTAATCGGATAGCCGGGTTCCAATTCCAGTTGAATTCGGTATATTCACTTCCGCGCAAATATTCTTGTGAATGGCATGAACCCAGCTTTTCTCCCTCAGCTATGGGTTAATTAGTATCACTAGAACCATTATTATCTCCAAAATACATGAAATAAAATTGCGTACAAAATATTGAAATTTCGGCATTCAATAACCCATAGAGTTTGATATGCCACTAAACAAAATCAACCAACTAACCATAAAAAGAATATGTAGGAGTAAAGGATAGTGGCTCAGATTGAGGAATCGGAGAGCCGAGTTCGAATTCCAGCCGAATCCATTCCATTCACTTACGTGCTAATACCCTTGGAAAATATATGAATCCTCTTCTTCTCCCCATAATTATCGGTAAATAACAGGACAGCCCAGGTTCTATAGCCTTAGATGGCAACTGGTCTACCGCAGAAAGAAATGGCAACCTACTGCAGGAAAAAATCTACCTTGTAGATCATGTATCGAAAGATACATGATCGCTTAAGCGTGTATCATGCATGGCACATAACTGATTGCAGGAGGCACGGTGGAGTAATGGATCATTCTTTCGGTGGTGATGAAATATTACTAGTTTAATTTTGGATGTATTGAATGGTACCAATCAATTTTTTCCCTATCGAGCTGAGGAGAAATCAGCTGCTTGGTCAGAGGAGCGATCAGTTGTTAGGACCTTGTCATCAAGATATTTGGTGGTGCCTCATACACCGTGGTATCACCTGCATATATATTTACCGCGTGTTCTTGAGAAGATTGTTAATATAAAATATACAGAAGGTATGACCAAAGAGTGTCTTGAAGGACGCCAGTATTAATCTCATGTGCCTCAGAGGACTGGCCATTAACGGCGATCTTCGTAGACCTACATGACAGGGAACACTTGATAACAGAGTGGAGTCTCCCAGAAATTCTATAGCTGGTCAGTTTGTGTAGCAATGCCCTGTGCCATGCCCTGTGCCACACCCTGTCAAAGAGCTTCGAGATCATTAGTATGATCACTCTCGATAGATTTTTATGATCAAGCGCTTCAGTTGTGGATCTAGAAGAGTGAAAATTTTTGTTGAGGCGTTCAATTATGATAGTTACAAAGAACTTGCAAATGGCGCTTAGTAAACTGATAGGGCGATATTATGACAAGGACGAGGGCTCACCCCCATAGCTGTGCACAGGACACACACTAGACACATTCTATATGCTTGGGAAACATTTATTCTTAAAACAATGGTTAAACAGCCTCGTGAAGATTGTAGACAGTCCTCAGTCAAGGATTTTGAGAACAACAACAGTGGTTTAATGTGAACCAGTAGCCTTCATAGGTTGAAAACCTTCCGAGTCGATATAGAGATGTTACAATGCTTGTGCTCCGCAATATGGGGGGGGAGTCAGGTTAAGGATGGTGTCTGTCGTCTAACCGAGAGTTAGAGGCAAAGTTCATAGCAAAGTGCTTAGCCTTATCCAACGAGGATAAGATAATATCAAGGCCATTTATAATGGAGGACACTGACGGTTTGCCTGTATTGATTATAACGTTTGCAATTTAAAAAAAAAAAAAACTCGCGAGATTCAAGCTTTTTGTTCTCTACTTTAGCATGGACAACCTGCGTTTAGCTGTTCTTCGAATTTTTCAGGACTCTCTTGCGGTTATGAACGAGGTAAGAGTCCTGCCACATCGTTCCTTCTGAGAGAGACAGTAGTAGTCATTACGGAGGGCCATGGCGGAAGCATATTCTGGCGTGAACCAGGATTGGTTGTTTGCATCTGCTGGTATATTTAGTGAGAGATAACGCCTTCAACTGCGGAGAGAATTCTCTCAGAACTGAGGAAGGCCGTTCCGGAATGTCCTGAGTGAGGTGCTTCTGCAATGTAGGACGTGAAGTTGTCCCAGTCAGTTTTGATATATCGATAGAATATCTCACGAAACGGCACATCTGAGGGGGTCGACCACATCCCAATATAAGACAACGATCCTTTTTTTTCCCTCCCGAGGCCAATGTACTGATGCTGATGACATAGGTATTCATAGTTGGGATGAGAATGATCAGAAAACATCATCTGTCAAGTATTCCAAGAAATAAGACTCAAAATTTAGAATCTGGAATTAGAATAAAAGCAGTGATGTCACCTACCCTGAATCCATCATAATTGTTATGGGATCTTACCCATAATAATAATAATGGACTATTCCATGCTTAGTAAATACTGCGCCTCAGTCAGTAGTTCAAGTCGAGTCAGTATTTCAGTCGGTCAGTCAGTCGACTGGCTGTTCGGTTGAACTCTCTGCCTTCGGGCGGGGAGGAACCCGAAGGAGGCTACGCCGAAGGGCGGATTCTCTTTCGGGGAGGTAAACCGACACTGAACCAGTTTATACGTGTTCAATGGGCATATTTTTTCCCGAGCCCACGGGCTCAGAGATCCCACGTTAAAAGGCCTTGTGCCACATGACGCCCTCGTTGGGGGAGGGACTGAATATCGTCGAGTCAGTAGTTCAAGTCGAGTCAAGAGTCGAGTCAGAGGCAGTCCGAAACAGAGTCGCGTTCAGACAATTACTGCAAGACATTGGAATAGTGATACTGGTCGAGACTACATTGTTCTCTCTACTAAACCTGATTGTTCATACTAACACTTCTACTTCTCTGTATATATTCCTGTTTGTAATATATCTGTGTTATTCTCTACCTGTGTTCGAATTCTTCTTTATTGGTTCTATCAGCGTGGTACAAGGAACCAGACCATAACAATAGTTAAGTATGTAGAATTAATAAATGCTAACCAATTCAAATACCTCCACGTATGAAACATTTATAACAAATTTAGTATAGTAGAAAATTAAATTGAACATATAATAAGACTGTACTACAGGTAATTTCACCGAAAATCACAAAGTGCTAGATAACCAAAACATCGATCTGAAAACTCGAGTTATGTTTTTAAATATATTCGTCAGATCGAGGCTTTCATATGCATGTCATGCAAGGCGCCAAATCCGTTCAGAAATATGTATTGTCAGTTGTATACAAACGCTTTCTGAAATCAATGGTTAAAATATCTTTGAGTGAGTGAAGCCAAGTAGGTGTAGGAAAAGACCACACTTCTTTGAACAGTGTGGACTGAAGTTACAGAATCAAAAACAAATAACTGTAACAAATAACAGAAACTACATCACTTGATGACTATCAACAGCTGTAACAACTAAAATGGATATCACATGTAACTCAAAGAGAAGAAAAATAACATAATCAAGATGCTAACGTTCCACACTACTTTGAATAAAAGGTTACGACGGGAACTCCCTTCAGAACTGAGAAAAGCGATAGCAACTACAGAACTCGAGAAATATATTTGCTTAAAAAATTGTTTTAAGAGAATGATTTATAATATTCAACCTATTGCAGTGCAGACTGCTTAGTCAATGAACGACAAATATTTCCTCGTAAAGAAATGGTTAATATTACTATTACCATTGGTTTTACATTAACCCTAACAAAGATCAAGGAATAGTCTGAATTCCCCAAAGGGAGGCAACACCCATACGGAACATTTATCAGGGCATGACGTGAGGAAGATGTCTAATAAGTTAGTATGATGTTCAGCTGCACCAGGAACATGAGTAGACATGTCTACAGTCTGGGTCAGCTCATAAAGTATGGAGAAATATTAACTGTATTTCCCTCTTCATCAGTTATGTTTGAGTGACTAGCCATTCCTAGCGATAAATATTGAAATCACTCCAAATGTGGATGGTAGCTGAGAGATGTACGGGAAGCGTGTCATCAAACGTTTCCGCTATCCTATCACACATTGTATTACTATCATTCTGAGGGTAATAAAATCCAAAGAAGAATCTGCAATATTATCGGTCCTGATCTGGCGACTCGGCTTCAGTCTTCTTCCCACTGTTGTAAGGTTACCTCACTGTACCTTTTCTATGAATACTTTCATGGTAATTGTTCGGATGAGGTCATCGCTATGGTTACCTAAACTTTTTCAATGTAAGCGTACTACTAGACTAGCGTCGAGATCCCATTACTTTACAGTTAAGCTAGCTAGATGAAGCCGAATATACTATGATAACAATTTTTTTCTCGCACTTCTTGCTTGTGGAACCCCCTTCCGGCTTTATGTTTTCCAATCAACTTTAATCCCCAAAACATTTAACGCAATGTCAATCGCTATCTGCTGTCCTCCTGATTACTATTTTCTCTTCCCACTCATTATTAATGTTTCTTCTCCTAATTCTTCCACGCTCTGTAACCCCTTGTGTCTTAGTGGCTTTACTGCTTTACATGGGGTGAATCCGATTTTTTAAAAAATCAGTGAAGACTAAGGAATTGCTAAGAAAGAGGGCCTCCCAAAAGCACATGATTGGGAAGTCGGGACCCTCGTTTTTTTTTGTTTTTTTTTGGTGGGGGGGCTTCGTCATTTTTCCATTTACAGGTAAACTCCAGAACAAAATAAATGTAGTGTAGACCGAAAGATGTTTTTTAAAAATATTATATAGTTATATAATTTTGGAACGTGTGATGTCGCAATGCTAGAGTTCTTGTTTAAATAAATTGTTGTGATAAATATGGCAACAAAGATGAGGACAATAGTCCGAGTAATCTAAATAGTGTATATAATACCTCATCTCAGAAATATAGGCAGTTATATATTTTAGTTTTTCCACAAATATGATACCCATATTTTTTTTCTCCTTTTGATATTATTTCTAGATTCCCAATTGCAACAGGAAATGCTGTCGACTTCAGAAGCTACATTTTAATTATTTCTAACTCGAAGTCATTGTATTTACTTATATCTCTTCTTCTTCTATGTGCCATATGCTTTCAGGTCTTTGGTGATTATGACTCTCCACAATTTCTTGTCCTTTGTGGCTCTCATTTTTGTCGTCTGGCGCTGTAATATCTATCAGAAGTATATGTTTTCAACGG